GAATCACAAGAAGTAGACAGTTTCCACCATGCTTTTGTTATACCCTGATAGACAAGCTTCCCAGCAGAACTTTCCCTTTGTAATAGCCAGGATTTTAATCTGGGCTCCCTCTAGTGGGTAGAGTTGGCTTGCTGAGTAGAAGGGGAAATCAGATATGGATAAAAATCACCAAATGCTACACATTAGGGTGGTCCTCTTTAGACAGCCAGTTACCATAGTACCAGAGCTTTCCCTACCTCTCATTCCCTTCTGTCAAATATGGCCCGTGCCCACGGAGTTGGGGAACAACTAACTGGGTGGAGAGATGAAACCACTTTTCTTATCTTGAGTGTATTTTATATCTAAATCTCCCCCTTTAGGGGCATCTCTTCTCCAAAGGCTCCCAGGCTAATTTTGAAAACAATCTATGTGGTCTTCAGTACTCTCCTTCTGGGCCAACACAATTTGGCCTATAAATCTAATAACTGTGGACTCTTGCTTCCCAAAGGGAGTTTTTGTGTTCTACCCTCACCAAAAATATCTTCCAGCTTCTCAGAAGTGACTCAAAAAATATAGCAAGAATAATTTAGAATCTCGGCCTAGGAAAAGTCTACAACTGGCACATTATTGTCAATTGCAATGAACCATTTACGGAACTAACTTTGTCTCAATCTTTCCGTTTCCTATACTATTTTTTGTTTATGTGTCACAGAATTGAGCCTGATAAACAAATCACCTTTGAACTTCTGTACTGAATAAGAGTTAACTAGAAACTCAGTAGTGAGTTTGTGTGTATAAGAATGCTTTGACATGAATAATCTCTTTTGAATTGTCCATGGACTTCACACTTTATGCCAGCCCAGTAATGTATGAAAGCAAAGGAAACACCATTTCTACAGTTTCATCTATTAATAGAAGAACAACTATAATAATTTTCATTATTTCTATGTTAAATAAAACAACCTTAAACTTCTCTCCAAATGGCAGGGTTAAAAATCAGACCTTTGACTATGTTAACTGAAAGATTACAGGTATCATCCATTCCCGATGTTTATGTAACTCTTTGGGTAGCATCTTTCCAACACAGAAGTCAGTATTATCAGGAGGGATTCGGTAAATTTTCATATTTCCAGGATATTTACAACAGCTTCTCTGTGCCAGGCATTGTGTTAGGCAAAAAGGACAAAGTGAGGAATCAGTGAGTCCCATTCTCAGGGAGCTCGAGAGAGCATAGATTACAGGCAAACCACAAACATGTGTGAGGGTCAAGCACAGGGATGCACAGACACTGGGGGAATGCATCACAGACTCTGATCCGCTTGGAGACAGGACAAGAACATTTATTAAAGCCTGTAAGAGTTGTTTTAGCCATCATTTAACTTGGGCTCAAAGGTAAGTTCGGTGTTCCCGTATCGTATAAACAGCAAATGTAGATGAAAGATGCATGCTTTCCATTCAGCATTAATTATAATCCTATGCCCTAAATCCATAGCTTTGCCCACTAAGGGTGAGCTAGGAGCCCTAATTTTGTTCTTAATACATTTTATTTCTTTTAATATTGGGTGCGGAGACCAAGGAGACTATCTAGTTTGTGTTCTAACATCTTAAAAATATCAACTTTTAAGTGTGTGTGTGTGTGTGTGTGTGTAGGTTCCCAAGAATGCCAGGGGCATTAAATTCCCCTGGAGCTGTAGTTATAAGTGGTTGTGAATCTCCCAGCATGTGTACTGGGAACTGAACTCAGGTCCTCTGTGAGAGTGGTATGTACTCTTAGCACTGAACTATCTCTCCAGTCCCACTAATAACTCTTTTTTGGAGATGTGTTATATACTTAGATAAATACTTCTTAGTTTTCTTTTAATGTGTAGTTACAGCTCTTAACTTTTCAAAATTACCCTTTCTGTACATTTTCTTTGCTTTTAAGGAGAAAAGTGAACTTCATTCTGATGTTAGGAACAATGATGTCCTTTAAATTTAAAAGAACCATACACCTCTCAAAGTTACTTTTCTTAAATATGCTCCTGTCAAAGCAGAATGAAGAAAGAGCTTGCCACACATGGGTGAATAAACTCTGCAGAATTTAGATGGGGATGTCAATGTCCTACCCTCTTAATTACAGTGGAACTATTTCTTTTAGTACACCAGTGCATTCTTTTTTTCAATGGCATGTTTCTGAAAGACAATCTTCAAACAGCATAAGCACTCTTTGTTCTTTATTCTTAAACAATTTTGGATGAAAAATCATTTCTATATAGCCCAAGTAATTTTCTCATCACACATTGCTTTAAGTGTTCATTATCCTTTGGTTATTTACTTAGTTTTATTCTTTGTGTACTGTCTTCTTCTTAACAAAAGAACAAATGTTAATTAAAACCATTTGGAAATGACCTAAAAGTCACTGAGAAGCACTCAGTAGGTTTCACACACCATGAGAAGTTCATAATTGACTAAAGAGCCAGTCTCTCTGGATGCGAACAGGTAACATGAGAGACCTTGTCTTTGTAAACTTTGTTTCTATTATTATCTAGTCTAATCTTTGAATAAGTCCTAAGCTCATCCAGAAAAAGTGACTATGATCTTCTTTTTCCTGCTTCTTGTGGTGGGAATTATGATTGGATACTTGGATCATTAATTTGTTAGGCTGTAGGTGCTAAATGGGCTCCTCAGATGACAGCTCAACTCAGAGCCCTAACAAGTCATCTAGCTTTGATGGGTGACTGTGTCTTTGCTATTGGCTTTGTTTCTCTCTCAAATGACGTTTGTCATTCTTTTTTTCAGACTTTAAAAATTTTTTTTATAGAAAGCAATAAAAGTAGCTAAATTTACTCATTTACTTAACTGGGTCTATGCACAAATATCTATTTGTGTGTGTACACATGTACGTGGAGGTCAGAGGTCAATGTTGGCCATCTTCCTGGATTGCTTCCCATCCTATGTTTTAATTAGAATACATTAATTATACATAATTATGGGTCTCCCTTATAATATTTTTATACATATACATGATACATTCCGAACATATTCACCCCTTCCTCCATTGATTTCACTTGCCCCCCTTGTCCCCCTCTACTTCTTCCCATCTAGCTTTCCTCCTGTGCAGAGTTCTTAGTAAACCAGGAGCTCACTGATTTGGCCAAGCTATCTGGCCAGTGGACTAGGGGATACTTAGTGCAGCAACCCCAGTGCTGAGACACGTGTGTGCCATGGGAACCAGTTTTCTATGAGAATGCTGGGGACTTGAACTCAGATCCCCATGCTTTGGGGGCAAGTATTTTACTCGCTGACCATGTCTCCAGTCCTTGAATTTATTATGAAGGGGACTAGATAGTGAAGACCATGAAAAACTGACGTGCGTTTCTGCGACTGCACAATCAGCTATGTATACGTCTATATCATTTAAATACTGGAATTGATGATATAGGGTAAGTGAAGGGTAATCCTTCAAGAGACAAGGTAATGTGGAGTGATGAGTCACTCTAATGTTCTACCACAAACAAACCCATTTCTCTACAGCCATACACACCACACTGCAGGGCTTAATATTTTTTTTTTTTTTTAAATAAAAGGTTATAAAAACCTATTTGGCTTCTCCTAAATGGCAGTTAGTAAACTTATTAATGGCAGATGCCATTAGAGGTCAGGTCTCGTGTATGCTTTTTTCTGAACTGCTAGTTGCTATGTAAGTTTTAGCAAAATCATAAATGTTGCCAAATGGAGAAAGTGCTATGACCCAATTTCAAGGTACACATGTACCATTTAGTTTACAACCTTGAAGGAAGTCTGATAACAGAGTGCTTCATCCTGTTTTCTGGGCTGCTGGTGTTTGCCATGCAGGAGGAATGCATGCTGGTAGGATTTCACACCGTGCTAAATCACAGTGTTCTGAAAAACCCAGGGCCTTGCAAAGGCCATATCTCAAAAAAAGTTACTGCTTCAAATAAATGTGCCATTTTACAAAATTACACCTACTGTATCAGAAAAAAAAAATGTTCTCTCATGTGAGTGACATTTATATGACTGCCATTTATACAGAATTGGACATTCTCCCACGGCAAGGCTGAAGAATGGTTTTGAAAGCCTGGAGCATTCTCGGAATGATAAATGTGGTGAATCTTTAAGACGCTCCTGGGAGAACAACTGGGTGGTTTCCTTATAAAAACAAAGCTTGTGAAATTATGAAAATTACTCGGTTATACTTCCAACACCTTTTACATCTGAAGCATCTCATCTCAAATCTTAGGGCTTTTTCCCTTGTAGAGCTGGACTGTGGATACTCTTGGACCAATCCACTTTCGACTTAGATTAGAGGAACTGAGACCTAGCTACTGAGCTGCCAGGTAGAACTAGGGAAGAGAACCCTAAACACTCCCACCACCCCTTGGTTCAGGCCACTTGCTTTCCAGGACACACCATTCATCTTTTAAAGTGCCATTCAGAGAAAAATAAAAACGCCAGTAACAAGAAAAATAAAATCCCCAAACCTCCTACCACCTGCTTCTGGACAGACATCTGTCCCTTCCCTGAAGCAGTAAACTGCATCACAAACAGTATTTCTCTGGAAAAGCCATCGTGAAGCTGCTTAAGGGTATTTAAATTAAGATCAAGAAACAACGACTGCCCAATTTCAGGTCCGGGTGAGGGATTCTTCAGATGTAGTGTTAGACTGCTACACCGCACATCTACATTCTTCCAGGCTCCTCTCCCACGAGGGCTTCAGAGTTGGACGAATCCAGTCAGACGGAGAAAGAGCCCAGCCCTGGGTCTTTCCCCCTCCGGAGTCCCCTGCACCTTGATGCATAACACAACCTCAGGAAGGTAAAGACTGGCTGGATTAACCGATCCTGCTACAGCCTTGGGCGACCTTTTTATGTGAGAGATAGGGGGTAGTTTGCCTATATCTCAGTATCAGCTGGCTGAAAAGTGGGGTCCAGAAAACAAGGGCTGGAGGTGGGCTGAGATGGAAAAGGGGACCTCGGCTTCTGGCGAAAGCGTCGAGGTAATAGCCAGGGAAAGTGACCCACCTTTGGGAGAGGCGCCCAGAGGCGGTTGGTCAGGTGCAGCTGCGGTGGGCACTGGCGGCCAGGCTTGCAGAGCGAGGTTGCCAGCCGGTGCTTTGCCTGCCTTCGGGCTCCCGCCTTTAAAAAGCCAGAGAGCCAGCCCAGGGAGCCCTCCCCACCCCCAACCTCCTCTTCCCCCCCCCCCCCCCACACTAGATTTCACAAGAGAAGCAGCGAAGCAAAGTTTCCGGGAAGAGTTCAGCCCGGGAATCCCGTGCAACTAGAAGGACCAGAACTTTTTGTGCAGCTCTGGCATGCAGATGAATCCACTTTTCCCTGGCAAGCCGGGCTTAAAAGGGGTTTTCCGGAGCTCTTGGGCTAGCTGCAGCCCAAGAAAAGGGGCAGGGAGGTAGGTGTTTCTTTTCAGTTGGAGCCAGAGGCCTCTGGGCAGCTAAGTAAACAGCATGTGGGCAAGGACCTTAGGTTTTTCTCTTAGTTGCAGCCTTGACTCTCTGATGAAATGGAAATGGTGGCATCTTTCCCCTGATTCTTACAGAGTCAGAGTTTGAAAGATCCAGAGTTTTCAGGTCTTCATTCCAAATGCAGATCTATCTCTAAATCCACAGGTGTTGTTCCTAGGTGGTACTGGAACCCAGGTATGTGCAAGCCTTGCATAATAAGTACCCTTCGTCCCGTTTATTTTAAACCATCTCTACTTGGTGACAATGAATACAAATTTATCTAAATAGATGCCATACTTTATTATTTGGAAGAGAATGGCAAGGAGAAAAAACAGCAATAACAAAAAAAAAAAAAAACCCAAAAAACAAAAACAGAAAACAAACAAACAAACAAAACTAAAAAGCAAAACAAAACACCTACACATACATGCAGAAAAGATGAAAAAAAGCTTTTCCTAAATAGTTTCGATTCATAGTTTGTGGAATCCACAGATGGAAACAAAACAAAACAAATAAACAAACAAAAAACCACATGGCTGCAGAGGATTGACTACATACACAGTTGGTTTGACTGATGGCTTATACAATTGGATTGGTGTATCTTTCTAAAGAGGTGCTCAAATCCACCAGTTTAAGGCATAAAGGATCATGAAAACTTGGCGGGGGGTGGGGAGGAGGGGGGGGGAGGGAGAACATTACTATACCGCCTTTTTTCAGTCTTACAATACTGAGTTCTCCAAGTTGGTTTAACTTCCATGACAGTCTTTCCAAAGTTCAGATTCAATATCCAGGGAAGCGCCTTCCCAGAACATTGGAACTAAACCAGTCTCTTCCTTTCCCTAATTGCAACTCTTCCCACCAGTCATCTGAGCCCTCAGTGTCTCTCGAAGAGTCCTGTGCTGATAACTAGTGATTAAATAATTTCTGTCTTCATACAATGCAATTTGTACTTTGAGTGCTGTGGTTGACATTAAGAGGCTTAATATGTTTGTGTCTCCTCATGGATGGTTTCCCATCACACCTAATGTAGCACATCAGGAATATCAACTGTGCTTGTTAATAAATCTACTCACTATCATTGTATTTTTCAAAGATTTCATCTGATAGTATTCTTAGGCCAGAAAAGAATGTTAAAAAAAATCCACTGATTTTGCAGCATTGAATTTTATGAGTTTGAAGACTCATAGATCAGAGAAAGGTATGTGTCTCCAAGAGGCCTTGCGTTTGGTGAACTAGGTAGAGAGCTAGATGGATTGGGGTGACTCAGGATTTGGTAGGGCTATCAGTGCTTTTTCTGATGATTTGCTATGGGGTAGCATCTGGCATTAAGCCTTGATACAGAGACCTGATTCTTAACACACAGACCCTGCTATCTACATCTAGAATTTGGATTTATCAGCTGCCAATGGAATACCACACAGTTACTGTGAAACAACAGTTGCCAAGGGCACCAGGCATTCTGACCACTATATTGTTTTCCTTTGGGAATTTCATGTTACATGCACAAGGCTGCTTAATTGTATGGAAGTTTTAAGTTTCCAAGATTTATTCATTTGGCTGAGAGACTATTGTGCTTGTGATGACATAGCTTACAATAGTAAGTAATAGTAGTAAATGGCCGAGTGGTAAACACAGTAGATACTTGATTCGTTTGTTCATCCTGTGGTTTGTGGATGGTAGGTCTTTCTGGTAGGAATCGGCATCTTTTGTTAATGATCTTATGAACCACTTGACTTTAACTGAATAGAACGTTTTCATTCTGTAGTTTAAGAACCAAAGTAACCTTGGGCTGTCTTTTACTACTCACTTCTTTATCTTACCTAACATTGTTGACTTTGAGATAAACTGAAATATCTCAGCAAGTTTGACACACTTATACTCACCAAACCTAAAACAGCATTCTGCAGCCTGCCTACCAGATGACCCCTCAGCTGTATTTTGTAAACACATTGATTCTTGGCTCTCCCACCCCCCAAACCTCTGCTGTGGCAGAACACTGCATCTGGGTCCTCAGGTCATGGTTGCTCACTTTGGGCTTGGAATAAACTATTTCCTTTTTCTGTATAGAATTGGTACTTTATGTCGACAGGTTTAAAGATTGATTTTCCCTTAGGTCTAGAAAGGACACACAATTCATAACTCTGTTAGCTTTTCCTTGCAAGAGTAATGTTATACTTTTTTTTTTCTTTTCATGGTGATGCAGACCTAAAATCCCAGTACTCAGGATTTTAGGTCAAAGAGGATTATGAGTTGCAAGCCGGCCTGGGGTAGATGTTGAGATTTTTGTCTTAAAAAGCAAATGAATGAAAACAAAAACAAAATGAAACGAAGCAATATTCTTCTTTTCAAGAGACCCCAACCTGTTTTGTCTCAGGTCTTTATTATCTTTTCCTCTTATGTCCTGTTCCATGCAACTGTTGGCCCAAGAGATGATAACTTGTTAGTATGAGAAGTCTGACTAACTAAATTCTTATTGGTAAGAGTAGGCCAGTTACCTGTCTGCCCCCAAGAACTGATAGCTGGGATCAATGGAGCAGGCCATTTGGTTTCTAGACCAGCTTTGGCTCCATCATGAACTGACATTATTGACAACCGTATTGTGTTCTCAAATGTAGCCTTCAACCAGTAACATTCTATCTTTATTAGGTAGATGAAAAAATTTGAATTTTATTGTTATTAGAGGCAAATATATTTCAGTTATGTAAGTCCTTTTCTTTGCCAAAGGCAACCACCAGAGTTCCAGAAAAGAAAGATTAAGTTACTTGGGAAATGAAGGATGGAAGAAATTGCCTTTATTAGTATTAAACTTGAGAGGCACTTGACTTATTCATTTTGTGGTTAAAAGATTGATTATCCCTTTAGGCCTAGGAGGCACACACAATTCATAACCCTCCTAGTTTTTCTTTAAAATCCTAGCTGTAAGGGAAAATTAAGTTTCCAAAAGATGCCAGTAACCTGAGTTCCCAAGGCATTGGTGTTGGCAGGAGTCAGTCTTCCTGTAGCTATGTCATTAGATCCTTCAATACACCTTCCAGATACTCCACTCCATCAGAGACCCTGCATAGGGATTTCCGTGCCTGGACTTACTCCTGTTCTAGCACTGGACAGAATAGTCTATCATTAACATGTGGGAGAAACACATACACCCCAAATATTTGCCCTCTATCTGTTTTTCAAGTAGGAGGGTAGGAATGAAGAAAAGAAAATAAAAAATAAAAAAAGGAGATTTAAAGATTTAAATACTGTTAGAGATATTTTTGCCCAACTCAAGGAAATGACTCCAAAATGGTGTGAACTTCACTTCCTCTGGAGATATATTTGAGTCTGGATGTATTGGCTATTTTGTCTTTTTCTTGCTTAGCATCTGTGCTCTTGATACCTCTGTGTGTTTCTTGCAGTCCAGGCTCTGCAGAGGACAAGAGTCCCTTTGCCATTTTCAGTTCCCAGAAGCAGCAGCAGCTATTCAGCACTGTGGGCTCTGTTACTTTAAAATGCTTTTTGTTTGCTTATTTGTTCTTGTCTTTTCGAGACAGGGTTTCTCTGTGGAGCCCTGGCTGTCCTGGAATCCAGCTCTGTAGATCAAGCTGGCCTCAGACACACAGAGATTCACCTGCCTCTGTTTCCTGAGTGCAGGGATTGAAGGTGTGCACCACCACTACTAGGCAATTTAAAATATTTTTAAAATTTGAAACGTTAAGAAAGTTTCTGTCTCAGCAAATTCCTTCTCCTGCTTCTTGCCCCTAGTTTCGACTTTTGCATTTTTTTTTTCATTTTTCTTTCCTGAGTGTATCCTTGCACAATTTTGGTCCCTGTGGAATACACTACATTGGACAGTTGGCTTGGACTTTGTGTGCATACAGTCAAAGCACAGAGCGTTGTCCACAGCTGGGTGGTCTGTGATGGCACACGGTAGACTTGGTTTCCCTGGCACTCCCCTAGAAAGCAGCACACCCTTTGTTGTTCTGCTAGATTATGAACCTAGCTCACTGTAAACATAATATAAATCCAAGGAATAAGCCACTTATGGGAAATAGAGGGAAAATGATAGAAAGAGATTTCTAGACTATTGGAGCTTTAGTGCTTAAAGATTACTCTATACATTGGACCGTTTTTTAAAAAAGATTTATTATTTTTATTTGAGTGTTGGACATAGTATACCTGAGGTAGTGATGGAATACAACATACATTCAAATGCCTGGGTGGGGACCAGAAGAGAGATTTAGATTCTCCTGGGGATTGGAGTTACAAATGGCTAAAGAGCCAGCAGGTGGTACTAGAAATTGAACCCAAGATCCTCTGAAACAGCACTTAACCACTAAGCTATTTCTCCCGACTCCCACCCCTGGGCTTTTTTTTTTTTTTTAAATGTGGATTTGTTATTTATAGTCTGAATTAATAAAATAGACTAGATAGGATGGACATCATATGAGCTAAGTCATTTTTCTCTGATTACAGGTCATGATCCTGTAGAGATGGGGGTTATGACAAGTGAATAGAACAAATGATGTTTGATCATTCATGGTAACAGCGACCAAACACATCCACCTTTCTCTTCTCAGGTTCTTTGTGGTTGACTTGGGGCTGGAGTAAAGAGCTGATTTCTGTTTTTGAAGGTTCTCAGCTACTTCCTAGAACAGGTACAATGTAATTTCCTGTCTCTGGTGAAACTCTATTTCC